CTAAAACTACTACTATTACTAAAACTACTATTAATAACTACCAGCGCTATTATAAACAAGAAAAAAAAAACTTTAATTCACTACTACTTACTACCGCTACTCTTAACTATTAATTGTAAAGGCGAGAGAGAAGGGACACTACCGCATACAAGCTGTTATTATTACACCGCCTAATTCACTATTAACGTACACACACCAGTTACTTGGGGAACGGTAGGGGAGGGGGGACGCGCGGAGGAATGCTACTATCGCTGACTACTACTACTAATTAAACTACTAATCGCTTTACGAGTACGATTACTACGGGAGAGAACGATTTGTTAATTTGTACATACGCAAAAGAGAGAGACGTTAGGGTAACGAACGCGTTCTGGCTGAGACACACTTATTCTCTTATTGAACTTATCTTTCATCGATTTCTTCTTTCTAATTAATACATTTTAATGTGAGATACTTCCATGGAATCTACATATTGGTTTAATCTTTTCAAGTTTCTAGTTGTCCACTGAGAAATTATCTTTATCTGTATCATTGCTTTGAAACATTTTTTTTTATTTAAGTTTGACTAGCACACATTATTCCACTTGTTCAATGAAATTTAATATTATTCCACCTATGCAGTGAAACTTAAATCTTAGCGATCAGTATTCAAGATATTCTTATGAGCTTCCCTCAGGCACAAGGCAATATTTAGATATCAAATTAATTTTCCAAAAACGGTAAAATTTTTCGTAAATGCAATTTCGAAATCTGAATATTGTGACTCAGTCCGAACGACTCTAGTAATTATTACTACGCACAGGGGCAGGGAGGCACGCGAACGAACCTAACCTCTAGATTCATCGATCTGGAACACGATCGGAGAGGTTTCATCCCCCGTGCACCCTGCAAGACTAATTAATAATTTTCCATGGAAAATTCATTTCTTGGAACTATTTTCAAACCCTTCGCGAGACACTTGCTCTCAGGAATGCGCCGAGAATAACCGTGATCGACGTCACGGGGATCTATTAAAAGACTTTTTCGAACATCGGGGGCTGTTAAGGGGTTGAAATAGCTCTCCGATCGCAGACGTAGACGCGTAAGGAATTTTTAATACTTGCCTCGCCAAGGGATCGCAGCGAGGCCTCGTGTTCTTATTTTGTTAAGCGAAGCCGACTGGGCTGAAAGTTAATCCCTGCGCTGGCAGCCAAAATATCTGTCATTTACCACATTGACAAATCACAGATTCGTTTCAATTTAAATATACAAAGATTTTGTATTCGATAAAATTATTTAATAGTCATTATCTTAAAATTATTTAATAATCATAGTCTTATAAATTATTCTCTATGTTCTTTATCAAAAGAAAAATTGACGTGAAGATAAATTTAAAAGTTAAAAATCCAAATTATGCTGAATTTTCACTGAAACATGGGGAAATTTTAGGAAGTCTCTAGAAGACAATGTTACTATGACTAGGTATTCGGTCGCTAGCGCAAGGGTTGAACGAAAAATAAAAGAAACATTCACGGGGAACCATCGTACGAGACGGTAGACCACCCAGGGTGGTTCGGGATACGATAACACGCGCCCGCGGGCTATGTAACTAACTTTTCTCGCTGACTTTCCTTAAATAGTACGCCGTTCGCGCGGCGAGCGGCGCGCGGCTAGGTGGTAGAGTGCCAATTAGGGTTAGTCGTGTAAATTGTAAATCTAGCTGTTAGGTCTTCCTGAAACGAAGGTGCAAGACGGTGCTTTTTTCTAGAGTCGAAACGAGAATTCAAGGGAGAACGATAATTAAACGTGGCACGAGCGTATCGTCGAGCAACGTTTCGCGGCGCACGAGCCGGTCGGACGAACCCACCCTGTCAGGTTTCTGCTCAAAAAAGA